CCCTATATATATATATATATATATATATATATATATATATATCTTGGGCTTTCTTTTTCTTTTTTCACATGAGAAAAGAAACTTTTCTACATACACATGTTTAAGGTAGGTCCCACCATTAAGAAATTAAAAAAAAAAAAAAGCAAAGCACAATGTATGAGTGACATAAGAAATACTTTCTTCAATAACATAAGAAATTTCCCCCCCCCATATATCCTATCATTTACAAATTATCAATTCATCACCAAAACACGTGAATCAGCTTGCAGGCATAGAAAATCCCCTTATACACGTTATATTTACTCTTGAACTCATATCTCTTACATTATTACACTTTAGGTGTATGAAATAACTAGGGGTGGCAATCGTGTTCATAGGTCGGGTTCGGGTCGACCTGTGTCTGACACGAACACGAATAGACCCGATCCAAACACGACACGATTAACAATTCGTCTTATAAAACTCAACCTGCACATGACCCATTTATAAACGGGTTGACATGATACAACCCTAATTTGAGTGCAACCTGTATTTACACGACCCGACTCGACCCGACCCAACACGACCCGACCCGACACGAGTAAACACAAAATGATATTACTTCAAATCATATTAAATTTGTTTAATCTAATTCAAATCAAAATAAGTTACATTTAACTCCATCAATCCAATATCAAAACATAATTAAATGCAACCTACAACAAATGTCTCATGCTTACAGTAACTTCTTCCACCAAAATACACATTAAGATCACAAATCCAGGATCATGTAACTGATTAAAATATAAAAGTCATTGTCAAACTGAGTAACTATTTTGAGCGCCATGATCAGTTATTGAATGTAGACTCATTTGCTCCATGATATCTTCTGTCAATTCTTCCAGAGCTATTGTTGATTGCTCTATAAAAATAAAAATCAAATGAATTACTTAAAATCCGTAAAATGAATAGATAATGAATAAGTGATTGATAATGTATATTACCTTGCTCTCCATACAACCAATCTCTAGTGAAAATCAATGCTTCAACTATGTCAAGTTTGAGTGCACTTCGGTATTGATCAAACACTCTTCCTCCAACACTAAAAGCACTTTCCAAAGCAACGCTAGAAATAGGTATCCCAAAAATATCTCTTACCATTGCAGCAACTTCTGGATACCTAAATTGATTAGCCTTCCAATATGATAACACATCCAAGCTAATATTTCTTCTGTCAATCCTTGGATCCTCTAAATATAATTCAAGCTGAGTCTTTTGTGGCACAATCACTTCATGAAAAGTATCAAATTCCTAACAATATTATAAAATAAATAAAATCAATAAATATACAAAAGAATAGAAACAATTGCAAGACAAATAATTAAGTTAACTTACACTCAAAACATCTCTAGATATTGTAGAAAATGAGGTTTCATCAGTTGTCTCACTCCCACCATCTCCAGCCCTCCTTGTTGAAGAAATAGATGAATAGTTTCTGATTCCATCATTTGCATACTCATTAAACAAGGAAACCAATTTGTCTTTCATGTTCGTTGATTCATTCATCCCATCATCACCATACAACTTATTGTAGCACCATTCAGCAAAACTCATCTTATATCTAGGATCCAAAATGACAGCTATGGCTAAAATCATACTAAATTCAGACCAATATTTGTCAAATTTAATGAACATCTTTTCAGCCATATTCACAATATAAGCATCATCACTTTTTAATCCTTTTTGTAATGTCAGATGTGCAGTAAAAACATAAGGAAAGTAAAGATTTGCAGTTGGATGCTTGGTTTTAGAGAAGACATAAGTAATCATAAAATACATGCAAGAACTCGTTGATCTTTTCAATCCTGTCCCATTCATCTCTAGATGGACAATATTTGTAGTTGGAATCACTTAACTCAAGGTGCATGAAGGCACGTTTATAGAAGAGTGCACTATCAAGCATGAGAAAAGTATAATTCCATCTTGTTGGAACATCTTGCCTGAAACCTCTTCTAGATGCAAGAGAACTTTGAGCAACACACTGCAAAAACTTTTGTTTCCTTGCTTGTGACCCTTTCACTTACTTAACATTTTCCCTAACTTTCACAATAGATTCATCAACCTCTTTCAATCCTTCTTGAACTATCAAATTTAATATGTGAGCATAACATCTCACGTGAAAAAACTCACCATTGCATAAAAGTCCACCTCCAATCAACAGTTGATCTCTCAAAAATTGAACAAACATCATTTGCAGAAGCATTATCCAATGTAATTGAAAAAATCTTCCCATCTAACCCTCAATCCTTCAAAAAGGTGTGGATTTTTTCAGCCAATGAGATTCCAGTATGTAAAGGTGGCATAAACCCAAATTTAGAACTCTTTTATGTAGATGCCAACTCTTGTCAACAAAATGTGCAGTCAAACATATAAATCCATTAGTGTTTAATGAAGTCCATAAATCAGATGTTAAACTAACTCTACTAGGATTCTCCTTTAACATATTCAAGCATCTATCTTTCTCCCTTTTATGCAACTTAACACAATCAGCCTTCACTGTGTTTCTAGTTACAATATTCAAATCCGCATGCAAATATAGAAGAAGAGCTCTAATGCCTTGCCATTCAGTAAATTGAAATGGCAAATCATGCATAATAATGGCAGCTATCAATAACTCCCTAAATTTCTCATGGTCAAATTTAGGGTCTAAACTTAAGGAGCTATTTTGATTTGAAAGCATCATCTGCCCAACATCTCTAGTATCTCTTCTCACACATCCATCCAAATGTCGTTTTAAATTACCAGTGCCATATTTACTATCAGCCATGTATAATTGATTACAATACTTACATTTGGCTTGAATTTTACATCCATCCTTATTTTTTGGAATGCGCTCGAAGTGTTGCCAAACCTTGGATACTAACTTTCTCGGTTTCTTTGGTGGCACGTTTGTGTCTGCTGACCCAGCTGTATTATCACCCCCAACATTTGCATCTTGAACATCTACCTCCCGATCCATCATTTCAGTGCTGTTTTGTGATTCAAAATCCATCTACATGTAAAAAGGAGAAGTTAGATTATCTATTCTACAAATGAGAAAGCAAAATTCAGAATTTATTAATTTTGCAAAATGTTAGGTAAACTAATAAGTTCAGTTTATTAAATTTTGATGTACGCAAGCATGGGATTAGACTTTTATTTACTCAAAGCAAAACCGAATTACGTATATTATATATATAACTCAATTGATGTTACTTGAAGCAAAACCGAATATAATATATTATATACAGTACATATATTACATATATTATTTACTCACATTTTGAAACTTGAAAAGCTCAAAAAAAAGCTGATCAAAAAGGCGAAGTACCCATGAAATAAAAGCTCAAAAAATGCCAATAACTTGCAAGATTAAACAAAAGTTGATCCATTTAAGCTGCAAGATTATTTATTATTCCTAACCGTCTTTATGGTTTCTTTTGTTCCATCCTCTTAACCCACACATTTTGCATATTGCAGTCATTATTAATTGTTTTTTCTCTGTCTCTTTCTGATATTATTCAAACCAATAACTCCAGAGCTGAGTTCTTTTCTTCCTCCCTCATATTTGACTAATTCTCAATCCTACAGATACTCTCTCTACTATTCAAACCTATAAACTTATCTTGAAGCGAAAATGGCTTCTGGTTCTGGTAAACCTTTGGGTTATCAAACGATGGCGACGAATCATCCACAAAGTCCCACACTGTTAATGCTTAAGGATTATCTAAGGGACGACCTAAGTTCGTGTTCATCAAGCAGTTTCAAATCAAGTTTGGCAAGAGAGCTTTCATAGTTTCATAATGATTATCTCTTCGGGAATTAACTGCTCTAATTGGAAGCACACGGAACAGAACCTCAACTCAAGTCTCTGACAAAAAAAAATAAGAAGAAGAAGAAGAAGAAATCATCCATGAAAACAGAACAAAAAAAAAAAGATTTGTAGCAAGAGGTTTCACTGAAACTGTTTCGGGACCCAAAAAACAATGGGAATGGTTAAGGAAGAGGAAACAGCCAGAAAGCAAACCATAATATTCACAATATATATTTTGATAACAGAGACGAAGGCCACCCAATAACAGAGACGAATTATTTTAGCATATTATATATAATATATAGTTCAAATTCACATACTGTAGCTGGTTCGAGAAGACAACCCACCAGGTTGAATATATCGCTGCATCCAAATAATTTAACAAAACAACTATTAGACTAATTATTGTTGTACTAAAAGTGGCCAAAGAGGTTTCATTAAAATGAAGGAACGGTATAGTGTGGGGAGAGCGTGTAAAATGCAGAGTGTGATTAATGTCAAGAAAGAAAAAACTTACCGAGAAGAGGGGAAAATGCAAGTGAAGATAATGTGAGGTGAGAGAATTAGCTGCTGCAACAATGCTATATCCAGAGAGCTGCGGCGCAGGAGCTTGGAGTAAATTGAAACCTAGGAATTCTTTTTCGTTTTATACCATGGTTTACGGGTCAACGTGGGTTCACGAGTTAACCCGTAACCCGACACGATTTTTTCGTGTTATTTTTTTCCCAACCCGAACACGACCCATTTATTAAACGAGTTGACTCATACACGAAAATTTCATGTCGGGTCCGGGTCGGGTTGGTAGGTCGGGACACAAATTGCCACCCTTAGAAATAATGTGTAAATACAAGGTTATTGTTATACAAATGTAATAACACGATTTATTAAGTTTAAAGACTCACACAACAAAGAAAAGAAACTGAAACCATTAAAGGATTTTCTGTAATTTATATTTAATTAAGAGCTCTTCTAATCTCATGCAATAAGAGAGAAGATCTCTTATGTTGTATACACATATGTGATAGGATCTACCATTTAAAAAATAAAAAAAGTGTCAGACGGATTTATTGAAAATAAAAATACTAAAATAAAAATACTGTCATATTGCATTTGAGTAGTTTTCCCGGGGGCTTCTTTAGCACTATAAAAAAACTAAAATAAAAATAAAAATTACGTACTAGATATTGTTTCGACTTTAGAGTCGTTCTATCCGAACCTCACCCTTTAGCCAAGCTCTGTTGGGGGAGTTTCAATGGCGTCAAGTCTCTTCACCTGTCCATCATTGCATTCTTCATCTTCTTCTTCAATATTTTCCACATCCTTAAAGCCAATTAACATTTCTCTCCTTTTTCTTAAGAACAAAAACCCTCTTCCAAGGCGCTTCAATGTCATTGCTATGGCCCCCCCTAAGCCCGGTGGCAAGGCCAAGAAAGGTAACTCTCAATTTCAACCCATTTCCCCAAAGTTAGAATCTTTTCAAAGTTTTAATTATTGGGTTGTTTGGTGGCAGTGGTTGGAATTATAAAACTGGCTCTTGAAGCTGGAAAGGCTACACCTGCTCCTCCTGTTGGACCTGCTCTTGGTTCCAAAGGTGTCAATATTATGGCTTTCTGTAAGGATTACAATGCCAGAACCGCTGATAAACCTGGTTATGTTATTCCTGTGGAAATCACTGTCTTTGATGTATGTTTTGTTTTTTTTTCTTTTTTGCTCTTGAAATTAATTTCTTCTGATTTATTTTAACATACGCTGTCGTTTTACTTGTTTGTTTCCCTTGTGCAGGATAAAAGCTTTACTTTCATATTGAAGACTCCACCTGCTTCGGTTCTATTGCTTAAGGCTGCTGGTATGTTCTCTTAACGTTCATTGTCTCCAAGGTGTTTGATGTTATGTTATTCGCAGTGTAATTTGTTATGCATAGTGTCAATGATTTTCAGTGTGGTGCTTCGGAAGGAATCATCTTTGTCAAAGTATATAAAATCTTAATTGAACTTGTGTGCCTAGTCATTAGCATGTTTCTTCTAGCTCAAATGTGATTAAGGATCACAGAATCTTGAATTCGGGGGTAAGTATTATTTAATTCAGCTACATGGTGAGATGCTTCCATTTTGGAAACTGTTCTGATTTGAGTTTTCATGGAATAGACCTGACAGTGGTTGTTGCAAGAAGCGCCTCTAAGTGCTTCGGTGTAACATGGGGGTGGTGTCGGGTGATGCCTTCAAGGCATTTCGACACTCAACTCAATAGGGTGATAGGTAAGGTAAGAATGATACCTGTGTTGCATAATGAATGAGGGTTAAGGGCTCTGCATATATGTGGTGGCTCCTAGGAGTCACCAAGGAGTCTAGGATTTCTCCCTTAGTTTGGGTCAATGATTAGTGGGCCTGAGCCAAACAATATGTGCAGAACAGAGACTTATTTCTGACCTGCTTGAAATTAATGAATCACAAACAAATTCAGTTTCTTGCTATATTGCATTTATTGGAATACATTGCCCAAGTTAAAAATTTTGGTCGACATCCATATTAATATTTGAAAATAGGTATAAATTTGAAGGATCAAAAGCATGAATTGTTTTAGCTTCCGTTTACCTTGAATGTCAATCTCCAATTATTTTAAGCTGGATGTAAACAAGGGAAATACTTGTATGTTCTGACTTCTGAGAGTAATAATCTCAGCAATTGGGATCTGATTTAAATTTTATAGTTTACATTGAATCCAATGGAATGTATAATGCCGTGCCATGTAATTTGTCTCCTATTACATAAGAACTGGTTTGTTTAACACATTTTATTATCTTTCTGGGTACACTTTGTCATATTAATTGGCTGTTAATGCTATATTAGCAATACTCAAATGAGATTATAATAATAATAAAATTGGTCTTGGCCACAAGGTGCTCTTAGTGGGTGTTGAACCCTGCATTGCCATTAAAATCTGCCCATATGGAACTAAGTTTGCCTTTCTATGTGTAAAATTTTATTTATACAGTATGCACTTGATTGGTTTTATATATGGGATGTTGGCGATTGTAAAAATATCATTTCCCATTAAATCCAACTAGCAAGGGTGGGATGGGATGGGAGTAATTCTTGTACACAGCCTTATCATTGCAAATTTGCAAAGAAATTGTTTTCTGCATTCGAATCTGTGATCTTTTAATTGAAATTCAGTTTTTGAATGAATAATCTAGCTTTGTCATACTTGATCTAAGTAAACAAAATGCAACAGATATGTCAAGATTATTGATTTTATAAACTATGAGGCGTTTTAGTACTCTACACAAGCATATTGTGTTTTTCAGTGTTCAAGTTTTAAACTGTCTAAATTATATTGATTTGCTACGTAGGGGCGGAAAAGGGTTCAAAAGACCCCAAGGCGGAAAAAGTAGGAAAGGTTACAATTGACCAATTGCGTGCAATTGCTACTGAAAAGTTGCCGGACTTGAATTGCTCGAGTATCGAATCAGCTATGAGAATTATAGCGGGCACTGCAGCAAATATGGGAATTGAAGTTGATCCTCCTGTTCTTGAACCCAAACAGAAGGCACCTGTGTTATAAAGTTCCTTTTTGGCCAAGCTGGCCTACTTTTAGTACACTGCTTTGTCTTCTAAATCGGCAGGGAAAAGAACACTTGTTTTTAGTATTTCGTATTAATTGATTTATATATATACATGGGTTTCACTTTGTTATGTCATAGTAAAGTTGGCGTGTCCTTAATATCAGTCACAAATTTGGTTGCACCCATTTGACCCGATAAATCTAAAAAATTAATTTAAACTAATTAAATTGTTTTGGTTTGGTTTAATTCGGGTTAATAGGTCATATTGGATCAAATTTGAACAAACACGACCTTTATTGGTTTGGTTCTTGTATTTCTCATGTGTTAAGGGTGTGCATGACAACTATTTTATTTCTTAACATTGATTTTAAAAGAAACAATTATTTTCTATTTTTGTGCCTTGGAATAGTTTTTAAGGAAAAAAAAATTGTGTTTGATAACATATTTTACTTTTATTTCGACAATGAGAATTATGTTTGGTAACACAATTAATATAATAAAAAATAATTCCTATTAAATATAAAAAAATTTGGATCATCACTTTCCTTTTCATATGGTGTGGTTGTGGTGGTGGTGGCAATGAGAGGTGGCACGGTGGTGGTGGTAGCGGCAGCGGTACGGTAGTGGTGGCGGTGGCGACAGGGTACGGTAGTGGTGGTGGCAGTGACGTGGTGATGATAGTGGTGGTGGTTGTGATGGCAGTAGCTGTGGCGATGGCGGTGGTAATGATGGCGGTGGCAGTGGTAGTGGTGGGGATGGTGGTGGTGGAGGTGACGGCAGTGGCTGCGACAATGGTGGTTGGCGGTGGCAGCGGAGATGATAGTGGTTGCGACAATGGTAGTGGTGGCATCGTAGTTGTGGTAGTGGTGACAATGGTGGAGGTGGCAGTGACGTGGTGATGGCGATAGTGGCGATGGCGTTGGTGGTGACAGTGATAGTGGCGGTGGTAATTGTGGTGGCAGTGATGGGTGAAGGTGGTGATGATGGTGGTGGTGGCATCATGGTGGTGGGGGAGGTGGCGACGACACTAATGGTACGACGATGGCGGCGACAATGGTGGCGGTGGTCGTGTCGGGATGATGGTGGTGATGGTGATGGTGGTAGAGGTGGAGAGTGATTGAGAGAGATACGTGTTTCTCATTTTATGCCCGTGAACAAAAAAGTAGAAATTTTCTGATTCTTTTTTCTATTCCCCCGCACAAAATTAAACTGGTTCATCCCGGGAACAAAAAAATAAACCGATTTTACCAAACGAATTTTCTATCCATTTCTGTTATCGGGAACAGAAATTAAAAAAAAAAAATTGATTCTGAAAAAGTTATCATGCGCACCCTAATTGTCTGACGTATGGACTTGAACAACTCTCCTTTGTCTTTTTTTCTCTTAAGGATATGTGCTGTGTTTTGAGGACTTCAAGCACCCTCATTTCTTACTCATTCGAAGAACCAAATCACATAGCTACCAACGAAGTCTTACTATGGATGAATTCTAAGTTCTTTGTGCTATGGATGAATTCCCACTATTTTATTCTCTGCAAGAAAAATAGTAATTAGTGCTAGAGAAATGGTTGATAAATTATGGTTCATCGACTTCTAATCTCCATAATCTTGCTTTTAAGCTTATTGGACAACCATTCTCATCCTCCTCTCGTGAAAGAAATTGAAGCCCGTATGCTTTCAGTCATTCAAAGATGACAAATAACTCATGAAGAGATTAAGATTTGGTCTTAGTTCATAAAATCTTCCGACTTTTTGTCGTAGATTTTGAAACGATGATAGAGATGGGTGAGAGTCAATTATTCATTCTTTCTCTTTTGGCTTTGTTGACGTCAAAATAATGTATATAATTAATAAGCGGCAAGTGAAATCAAATATAACCTGTTGCATATATGTGAAAGTTTTCAAACGCGCATTGAACTTCCTCCAGCATCTTCACACAACATATTTTATGAATGAAAATAATACTTCCATAAATGATTAAATATTAGCTTATAAGACGGATCTCAAGCCAGTAATTATTTTTCTTCTTCTTCTTTTTGGCTCCTTTCTAATTAGAACATAAATACATAAAGAGTTGTAATAAAAACAGATAAGTATTAAGGGGGAAAAACAGTTAAAATAACCGTGAATCTCACGGGGCATACACAATTGTTTTCTAAAGACGACAAAAAAGAAAAAACACGGAGAACACATAATCTCCAACGCCAATTCGTTCTCAAAAGTTAAGCAATTTTAAGAATTTCCGAGGAGGTTGTCCACTTCATTGTGAACCACTAAATAACGCTTTGCTAATTATGCCTGTGGCCTCAATATATCGGTCTACGCACCTAGAGATGCAACTGCTTTCACTCCCACTGAGACTTGAACCTGGTTTTGTGATACACTTCTCAAAACACTTTCCTCTCACTGTCTGCAAAATAAATGGCAATTAGAAGGTAAGTGAAACTGTAGCAACTAGCAATTAAGACACACCGTACAAAATCTGTACTCAATTTATCCCCTAACGTTTATCAGTTCTTCTCATACCCCCAGCATTGCCCCGCCCCAGCACAAGTATGGAATGGTCTTACTATCTCACCCTGGTTAAGATGATTCATTTGTCTGATAAGATATTTTGCTAAAATTTATAAGTGGCTGGGGAAAAACATTAAAAGGGTAGGGAGAATCAAATGCACCGTGAGACTTTTCAATATTTGAAAGCATCAATTATCCGGTGCTTATCAGCAATAAGGATTCATGAACAAGAAACACATCAATGACTAAATGTAATTGCATCTCTTTCTATATGATGAGATCAATCTCCCAATGACATACATAAGTGAATTTTCAGTCTTCACGATATACATTAACAAACTATTACTATTTCATCAGCCAAAAAGACAAATCTTGATGCACAAGGCTCCCGAACTTACGAGGGTAGGAATAAGGATTGATTGCACGCAACCTTACTCTTGAATTTTTGCAAAAAGGCTATTTTTCAGATTTGAACATTGACCTTCAAGTCACAAGGGGAAATATTTCATCAGCCAAAAATGAAAAAAAAATAAAAATCAACGAGGTTAGTAATTCTCCTCTCCTGGAGACCGTGTGACAATTTGCCAGTTACATAATCTTTAGTTGGTGTTCCTCTTTACCAAGGGCGACCATAAAAAAAAAACTATTAACTGAACTTATGTAGCACCGATGCTAACACGATACGACACGACACTCCGACACGTTAAATCTAAAAAAAATATTAGATTTCGACACGTTTTGATATTAAATATTATTTTTAATTTATGTAATATATATTATATTTAATACTCAATAATTTAACAAAAAAATGAAGTTAAACTTATAATACCCATCAAGTTTGCAAAGAAACATAAGATATTTCAAATATTTATATTAAACTCAATAAAATAGTAATCATAATTCAACGAATCTAATACTTGGAACTAAAAACGCAACACAACGCAATCTTTGAACTTTTTTGAATCTCTACAACGCGTGTTGGAGTGTCGGGGAGTGTCGGAGAGTGTCGGGAAGTATCGGACACGACAAGTCAAGTTTTTGAAGTGTCGATGCTTCATAGAACTGAACTGATCAAACAGTTTTCTATATAGTTTGGTCTTTTGTTTAATGTGGTCCCGTTACTTGTTTTCTAATAATAATTGGTACTAATAATGCAAAAAATAATAGAGTATAGGATTTACTCTGTATTATTATGCTTTCTCTATATACTACGATAGGCAACTCTCTGTTTTGTGATTTAGTTTCTCAGCTCAGGGTTCTGTTAGAAGTTAGTTTTGCTGAGCTGGGGAACACTGTAATCATTTTAATCTTCAGTCAATAACACAGTTCTCACTCAGAAACTTTTTCTGATCTCTTCTCTCTTTCTCCTCCTCCTCCTCCTCCTCTCTCTCTCTCTCTCTCTCTCTCTCTCTCATACTTACATTTACTCAACAAACATAAACACATATTAGAACAGAAGAAAAGTATAAAAAAAAAAACAAAAAACAGAACACACTGAAAAAATAAAAAATAAAAAGGAACCTACTCAGTCACAAAATTATATTCCGTTATGTAAATAAGTTTACATTATTTCCAATTCCTTCTTATACTCAAACTACGTTGATTGAGAAAACTGCATTACACTCAACTAACAGAAAACAACCTTTTCGTCCTAATCAGCAATAACTTTGGGGTAATAAGTTATGAGTCAGATTAGTTCTAGCAAACCCAACCCCATGAGCATGTAACCAAGGAAAATGAAAATGTAGAGAGAAAGAATCATCAAATAAAACCGTTAAAACGGGGGGGAAACGGATACCTCAAGAAATTGTTGAGCATACTCCAAGGCAAGTTGACTCTTCAACTGGTTTTTGAGATCCTGCGCCGATAATTGAGGTGACGATCCAGACGAGGTATTTGAGTACGAATCCATTGCTTCCCGACTCTAAAATCTGCAGCTTAGAATCGTAATAGCGGCTTCTAACACAGAAGGAAAAATGTAAAACCCTAGCAACTGTTAAATAACCCCTTAAAACTCTAATTCAGAGTGCTGTTGGGCGTGCGTGGGCGTGGACTACCGACAACAGTCCAAGCCCAATCCTAGCTTCCATGCTACTTTTTTCTTGTCCAAATATTTATATATATATATATATATATATATATATATATATATATATATATATAGGGATAGGATCAACTTACACTGGTGTAAGAATAATAAATTTTACACCAAATCTTAATCGTTGATTTCCGTGCATCTAATGGTTGAGATTTATTGGGAATTAAAAATTAATTAATGAGTGGAATCTAATAAATCTTAACCGTTAGATGCACAAAATCAATGGTTAAGATTTGGTGTAAGACTTTTTATTCTTACACCGGTGTAAGATGACCCTGCCCCATATATATATATATATATATATATATATATATATATATATATATATATATATATATATATATATATATATATATATATATATATATATATATATATATATATATATATATATATATATATATATATATATATATATATATATATATATATATATATATATATATATATATATATATATATATATATATATATATATATATATATATATATATATATATATATATATATATATATATATATATATATATATATATATATATATATATATATATATATATATATATATATATATATATATATATATATATATATATATATATATATATATATATATATATATATATATATATATATATATATATATATATATATATATATATATATATATATATATATATATATATATATATATATATATATATATATATATATATATATATATATATATATATATATATATATATATATATATATATATATATATATATATATATATATATATATATATATATATATATATATATATATTATATATATATATATATATATATATATATATATATATATATATATATATATATATATATATATATATATATATATATATATATATATATATATATATATATATATATATAAGAAAAATATTTTCTCATGTTGTATGAGATTCAATTATCATATTGTGACCTTTTGATTAGCGTATAAAATTTGTCTTTTCTTTTTTTTAATAAATGCGGGGCCTACCACTAGTTGAGTCATAATATGAGAATTCAATTCTGATGTAACATGAGAAAATTAAACCTCATATACATAGTTGTTAAAATCTCGATTTATCACTACGATTTTACGTTTTTACGATTTTTTTTATCAAAATAATTTTACCAATATTTCAAACGCTTTCACGTTTTTACGATTTTTTTACATTACGATTCTACGTTTTACTATTTTTTAATCTCCTTCTGATTTTACTTAAAATCTCGATTTTAACAACTTTACCCATATATATATATATATATATGAGGTTTATATTTCTGTAGCTGGTGTACGTGCAGCAATCAAATACTTGTCATATATACACTTGAAAACATTGTTATAAAAAAAAAAACATTACATACGATGAATCATAACTATATATAGAATAAAAGCATTAATTGTGAGGAATCATAACCATACACATGTTGTTGTTATACATAAAGCGGCTCCAAAAATGATTTTACATATATATATATATATAATTGAGCCATTACTAATATAACTCTTCGGTATATTTTACAAAATTTAACTATATATATATATATATATATATATATATATATATATATATATATATATATATATATATATATATATACGAGTTAAATTTTGTAAAATATACAAGTTATATTAGTAATAGCTCAATTAGATCTTACGATTTGTCATATCCAAAAGATAATAAGTTCAATTTTTGGGAGTCGTTACGAAGGATGAAGATATTCAAAATCAAAATCAGATTAGTTGAGTTCTTTAAGACATTGCACATTAATTGATATACAGATGTCTTTAATGTTTCTAAAGTGAATGTAGATAAGTTATTTATATTTGTTCTCAAAATAATGTCATTTTGGGTTAAAAAATTAAAAAATTATTGATGGAATAAACTATTATAATCCTGAAATAAATTATAATTACAAAAATACATTGATTTTTGCCTCAAAATGACGTCGTTTTGAGCTCAATGTAGATAAGTTATCTACGTTCAATGTAGAAAAAGGAAACCCTGTATAGAAACAAAAAATGATAAAATATTATTATTTGTAAACAATTTTCGTACACATCACTTTGATTAGTCCACAATCAAATATATTGAACTAGTAATATACATAGGAAAAATGTTTGTCCTTTAAAATGATATAACTTGTATCATTTCACTCTCACAAAGAGGTAGGACTCACACTTTTATTTTTATTTTTATCCACTTTCTTTCTCATATTATCTATCTATTTCTCTCGCTTAAATTGACATATTTTACATCCTTTAATATGACTGATACTTTTCCTATATACATATAGTTCAGATAATGTGTTTGAATTAGTTGGGAAAAATATTATTTCAATAACTGATTATAATTATAATTGATTTTCTTTATAATCGATAATAATGAAATCAGTTTTATATTAGAATACGTTAAATACAAATAATTTTAACACAATATGTGTCTTTTGAATTGTGTCAAAAAAAAAAACCTCTTTAATATAGTAAATTACTAAAAAAAAAAAAAACTTGACAAAAATCTCAAGTTGTAATGATTATAATCAAAATGCGGAAGCTTTTTAAAATAATTATTCCTAGGTTATAATCAATTTACGCATTCTTCACAAACATCTCATAATTTTATCAAAAAGTTATTGTTGGAGAAAATTATTACTTTCTGAAATATATTTAATTGCTTATAATTATTTAGAGTTAATCATAAACCTTGATATATTTCCTTTTAAATTGGCGGTTAATCATAGTCAAATTATCAGTTAAATAGATTTGATAGTTAGTTGATCTTATTGATGTTAGGTGATGCATATAATGTGTACGTAGAATTATATATTTTTATAATATACATTTCTATTTTTTTTTTAATTATTCAAACTAAATAAGCATGTTACTATGTAAAGAGTTCTAAAGAATTGAGTTTAGAATTCTTCTTTTTTTAATTATTAAAGGGTTCATACCTAGTTGAATCTTCTGTCCACGCTAATAGTTGCGACTTTGATTATCAAATTTCTCAATTAGATAGACAATATGTAATCTCATTGTAAACCCTAAATGAGCTTGAAATGCATGCTATAGACCCCAAAATGCATCCCATAGATGAGAAGAAAGCTACATTTGTATTTAAAAAATGCGAGTGAAACATATTGTTAGGTCATGAAAAAAAATTCTTTAACAAATTAGCAGCAATGTCAAAGTATATATCGATGACATGTTGGTCAAATTAGAGGCTTTAGACATGCAAGAAATCTTTGACTATCTAAGAATACACAATACTTAATTCCTTAAATGCTCATTTGATTCGAAAGATGGGGAATTCATATGTTTTTATTCTGAATAAGGGGGTGACAAAAGCAAACCTAGAAAAATGGAGAGACATCGTAGAAACGAAAATGTTTTGCATTATTTTGGGCCTTGAGCATCTTTTATTAATTTGGACAGGACTCGACCTATTAATAGCTAATGCAACTTAGGATTTCTACGCCTATTTATATTCTCTTGTAAGATAGTGATTGCAAAAAGTATTGTGAGGAGAAAATAGTGAAAAAGACATTGCAAGACAAAGCCTTATACTAAGGTGAACACAAATAATTTATGTCTCCTAATTTTCTCCCTTTTTTCTCGTTTCTATTCAATTGTGTGTGATTGACTGTGATATTTTCAACATGAAGTATATAATATCAATGTATGTCTTCTTAGATGAACCCAATGAAATAATCCTAGTGACTAGTGAGATCCTTTAACCAGAGCCAAGTCTTGTCCTCTTTTATATAGATATTTTCTTATCTAGTATAGTCGTTTCTTCTCATCATCTTTTTATTTCTTTTCTGAACAAAAATGTATGAACCCCTTCTCTATTATCCTCTTCTTGTTTATTTTTTTTTTGGGTTAGGATTCAGGCAAAATGTCTATATGGTTTGTATCCAAAGGCTGAGATCATTTTTCTCAAAAAGCAAAACCACTTTTGTTTTTTGTTTTTCCTTGCAAACGACAACAAAAGGGAAATTTCGTTTTGTTAGGGGTGGCAATACGGGTCAACACAATATAACAGGAAATCGACCAACCCGAACATGACACATATTCATTAACATATGTCAAAAACTCGAACCTGAACATGACCTACAACATGTTACGGGTCAACATGACACAACAACAAAAATTAAAAATTTATTTAAAAAAAAAAACCTTAAATGGACAAGCAAACTATAAAATTTCTATGCAAGTAAACGATAAAATGGTCAAGCATTTAAAATAAAAATAAAAATAACATTCACTAAAGTCCCAAAAATTCCATCTAACTTAGCACAAATTGTCATCGACCTTATAAAAAAACATCAACAATCTCATAAATAATCCAAATGAGAATATACAAATAACATCAATCTCATAATTTCATATTACCATAATCATCCTCATTGCTGGCACAAAGTATAAACCCATCAAAATAAAATTATACAATGAACATTCTAAATTGATCTCAAATTCCTTAAAACAATTACTAGTTTGTGAACCAGGTTGATTTCTTTATTAATCCACCGCACAATCCTCCATTATGTATTCAGTTAAATCATCAACAAGTATTAGTTTCATTATCTAATGTAAAACAAATATTAAAAATAGTTAGAGTAAGAAATTATATCTCCAAAAAATCATCCACAATGTAAATAAGGCAAAAGCATTAACAATGGCATCAAACAGCCAATCTCTAGTGCAAATTAAAGCCTTCATTACATCATGTGTGAGAGAACTTCAATTTTGGTCAAGAATACTTTCCCTAACACTAAAAACACTTTAAAAAGCAATATCAGAGATGGGTATACCAAAAATATATCTAGT